TGCGGTGGTGCGATCTCGGCTCACTGCAAGCTCCGCCTTCCGGGTTCTTGCCATTCTCTTGCTTCAGCCTCCCGAGTTACTGGGACTACACGCGCCCACCACCCCGCCTGGCTAATTTTTTGTATTTTTAATAGAGAAGGGGTTTCGCCTTGCTAATCAGGATGGTCTCGATCTTCTGACCTCATGATCCGCCCGCCTCAGCCTCCCAAAGTGCTGGGATTATAGGCATGAGCCATTGTGCTGGGCCTTTTTTTCCTTTTTTTTTCTTTTTTCTTTTTTTTCTGTAGAGATGAGGTCTCACTATGTTGCCTAGGCAGGTCTTGAACTCCTGGGCTCAATCCGTCTGCCCACATCAGCCTTCCAAAGTGCTGGGATTATAGGCATGAGCGACTGCGCCTAGCCAAGGCTTTTCATTAATGATGGTGATGATCATACTAGCTAACATGTATCAGCCCCATAGTGTGGCCAAATAGCCAATGAGCTAGATCCTGTTATTTGCATTGTCTAGGCGGGGGCTCTCAGGCCCAGAAGGGAGACTTTGCCTCTCCGAGCCTTGGTTTCCTCATTTGGGAAATGGGGTGAATGCCACCCCCTTCAAAGGACTGAGTAAGGTGATAGAGCCACGACGGGCCGAGGAAGGCTGAGCCTCTGCTCTGAAAGGTCTCAGTTTGGGGAGTGTGAGGAGGAAGAGGAGGCAGAGACAGCCAGGGTAGGGGAGGAGCAGCCGGCCCCCTGGCAGCTGGGCCCTCCCAGCCCTGCAGGGAGAAACCCAAGCTCTGCTACATAATTGATGACTGCTGAGCTCCTGGTGGCTGCCCAGCCCCCCCGCCGCTGCTGGAGCTGATTGCACCCAGGGATGATTCATGGCTGACCCGACTCCTGCATGGCCCTGCTGCTTGCTCAGCCTCAGTGGCGGCATCTGTGAAATGGGAAACAGCCCTTCCTGCAGTAGAGGTTGATGGGGTCGTGAGGAAACCCTTAGGACAGGACACTGTTAGATCAGAGGGGCCAGGACTTGGACCAGTTTCTGGTTGTTCGTAGGTAACTCCCATGGCTTCTGCCAGCTTTGATGGGGACCCATGCGACATCTGGGCCCTGGGTGTGCCCAGCCACTGGCTCTGATAGGCTGGCAGTGTTTCCATCTACCCTACGAGGTGGCCAAAGCCAACCATCTGGTCATCCTCCCTCCCTGCATTCCCCTTCCTTCCCAGACGTCTCTGCACCCATCAGCTCGTAGCACTGGTGCCGTACGTGGGGCAGCAGCACTGTAGCAGACCCAGCGTTTATGTCTAACCCACATCTTTCCTCTTTCATCCTCATGACCTATGAGGGAGGTGCTATTATTCCCTTTTTTCAGCTCAGGAAACCAATGCTCAGAGAGGCAGAGCCCCTTGCCCAAGGTCACACAGCTTGACAGTGGCAGAACTAAGACTTGAATCAGGTCCTTCTGAACCCCAACCCTGGTTTCTTCCCCTCCCTCCTCTGGCACCCTTTCCCTAGCAGCTCCCAGCTGCCCATGGAGCCCCCTGATAACCCCAGACCCTGCTCCGTGCCCCATTTGTCCCGAACACTTTCTACCAAGTCCTCTCCTTCAGAGTCAGGCTCTAAGGACCCTAGGGCTGGCCTCCCCAGGGGTCCTCACCCCACTAAGCTATGGGTCAGATTGTGTATGAATGTGCATTTTGTGGGGATTCATTGGATTTCCAAAAGAAGCTGTGATTCCCATACTCTGGTCTAGCCACCTCTTTTCACAAATGGGAAAACAGTGAGGCCCTGCCAGGTCACACAGTATCACCCTCGGGGCCGGTTCCTTGTCCCTGGGGCCTGCCTAGGTTCCTGCTGGTGGGGGCAGTCCTCCCTTTCCCCTCCACTCCCCCACCTCCTTCTGAGCCCTCCCCACCCCTTGGCCTTCCCTGCTGCATAGTTCACGGAGGAGAAGTTTGGCCAGGCTGAGAAGACTGAGCTTGATGCCCACTTTGAAAACCTTCTGGCCCGGGCAGACAGCACCAAGAACTGGACAGAGAAGATCTTGAGGCAGACAGAGGTGCTGCTGCAGCCCAACCCCAGTGAGTGTGTGCTGGTGGGCCTGGGGAGGGACGCAGTTGTGGGGCAGGGATACAGTCGTGGGAGGCCTGGCCTTGCTGTGGCACAGGTGGGGGCTGCAGCCAGGGTTTCAGCTAGACTCTTAGGCTCAAGGCTGTTGAGGAGGGACAGTTAAAAGAAAATGGGGGACTCTGTGTTGGGCTGCCAGACACTCCAGGGCAGTGGAAATACTGAGTTTTGCACAGAAGAATGAAAATGCCTGGAAGCTAAAACACACGTGGGAGAAGAGGCAGGCAACACCCTGTCTCTTATACACATCTAGATGTGTATAAGAGACAGGGGTTTCACCATGTTAGCCAGGATGGTCTCCATCTCCTGACCTTGTGATCTGCCCACCTCGGCCTCCCAAAGTGCTGGGATTACAGGTGTGAGCCACCGCGCCCGGCAAGAATTTTATTAAGCAGTAGAAATGACTCTCAGCAGACAGGTGAACTGGAAAGCAGATGGAACGGGCAGGTAATCCTCCCCTGAAGCCTTGCCACTCCGGATGGCTCTTCCCTGTTGTCAAGCCATCTCCCTGAAGTTAAGCCATTTCTCCTCTGAAGTCCAGCCTCTTCACTCTGAAGGAAAGTCGCCTCTCTCCAGTCAAGCCACTTCTCTCTCCCTACCAACTGAGTCTGGGGTCTGGGGGGGTCTTTAAAGGTACAGGATGGGAGGTGGGGTGGGCTGCAGGTAGTTTTGGAAATGGCAATATTTGATTGGTAAAAAGGCACTATTCAGAAAGAACCAATCAAGAGAGAGCAGGCAAATGGATAGAAGTTCTCGCTTTGGGATTGAGGATTCAGGCTTTTCAGCTGGAAAGTACGGTTTTGCCAGGGACC